TATAAGCCTAATAAGTTATTAATGGCATTCCTTAACGCTTGCAAATTTACTGTTGTTTTTCGGTATGACACATTTTGAAGAACTACATATAGTCGGACATCAATCATTTTCTTTGTCACTGACATTATTTTCATTTTAAATTTGCAAGTTGTATAAATTTTAAACGTATGAACAAAAACATGTCGTTGCAGTATTTAATTGATTTGCATCATTTATATTCTTTATAATACTGAAAATAATAGGAATATCTTATTTTTGAATGATTGCAGGGTTGATTGGACTCCTGCAATATCTGCGCTACAAATTAACGATTTGTGTCCTTCTGTTTCGTGTCATAGCAGTGAAAATCGTTGAAATGTTATTTCGAGTTTTTCAATGTTAAAATGATAAATCAGTGGGAAATTCTTGTTTCTTGTCACGCATTAGTGATGTCGATTTTGTAGTTTGCAAGCACTGGAGTCGTATAATAAATTGAGATAGTTTTTCTAATATTGTGAATGTAGGTCATTATAAATAGCATAAGTTTTTGCGAAAGAAGCATTGAGTGTCTCCCATTTATTCCCAATTTCACTTCTGTTCTGCTTATTTTTGACCCTACAAAATGTAGTCTGGAAGTTTCTCTTGGAGATAGTCATAATGTGTACATTCATTTAAAATTTGCGTGATAATATGTAGGGTCTGCTCACGTCATTGAATTATAATTGTTACTTAAAAGAATATTGAAAGTAAGTATGAGTTTGATATTTATCATCAAGTTTTTATTGTAATGGCTAGTGATTATTTATTTCGCGACCGGTGTACTTTGAGTGGGCAGTTCGTTTTTGGATGCGCGTTTTTGTTAGAGACGTGAAAGTAAACGCATCGTATCTATCAAAAGTTTTTTTTAGACTTCTTTGTAATTGCTAATTCATTGCGACTCTTATCTTTTGAACAATGCATAGCCAAGATGTGAAAGCGACTAATTATCGGTATGGGTATCGTTGTTTTTGGAATGCAACTATGTCTCAGAAGAAATTTCGAGAAGAAACAGATTCTGCAAATCTTCAGAACAATGACAAAGCAGAAAATAGTGCTGCGGAAAATGACGTTTCGAAAGATTCATGTGGTAGGCAAATTAATCCAATTTTAGTGCAGCACAATTGTAGATTATTTGGCACTTTTCGCAAATAGCATTTTTGTTTCTCTTTTGTATATTTCATATTCCAAAATCCCTGTTAGTGTGAATGAACTTGGATAACTGTTTGAAGTATTCAAAATGTAATTCATTTCAACTGCAATATTTTCAAGGTATTTAGGTAATTATATTTTTTATTTTCGATGAACATGTTTTGATTGTTTTTGATATTTAATTGATTGCTTGAAAAATGTAATTCGTTGAGTACAGAATTATTCAGTCTATGTCTTACATATAGGTAGAATATTGGAAAATTAGTAGGGATTGACATTTTAGTTTATTTTTTGTTAATATTTCCAGTTTTTGAATCCTAGTAAAATGTAGCTTGTGCACATATAATGCTATTTTGGTTTGTCTCTTATGTTCTGTTTTGCTACAGGTATGGTAAAAGAAATGAACAGTGTTGATTCTGTAAAGCCAGAGAAATTTGTTCCAAAAAGGAAAGAATGCAAATATTTTTTTGCTGAGAACTCATGTCATTTCGGAGAATTCTGTCGTTATTCGCATACAACCGCTGAAGCTGCAGTAAATAGGGAAAACTTTGTTGTACGTCGTTCCGATTCGCAATTTAGAAAACCCTACAGCCGACCAATTGCTGCAGCAGTAAGCAAAAATGATATCGGAACGCAAAAGCAGTGTGATATTCGAAATTCTGAAATCAACTATTTTGTTAAAAGATTTCGTCAAATTCAGTGCACTTATAATGGAAGTTCTTATGTTACTCAATTCGAATACCAGATCACTGATCCAGAATGGGTCAGTTTATATTTTCTCTGTCATTTTCACTCAACAGTTGTTGTCAGGAAGCAAAAAGCTATGGGATTAAAATTATATTTTTCGAAAACTCGTATTCTTTTATAAAAAGTCTATAGTTTATTTACTACGTTACTCATTTGGGTTTTTTCTGTCTTGATACAGTGATATTATTATTTTAATATAATCATCAATGGAATTTTCGCGCGGATAGAATTTCAGGTTTTTGATGTGAAAGCTTTAGTGCTTGAGCTCACAATTCCAGAACATTATCCGTGCGCGCCACTGTCGGTGGATTTAGTTTCTTCAACGTTACCTACACCATTTATAACCCATTTTGAGGAAAAAATAGACGAATTTGTTAAGGTGAGGAAAGAGTAAGAGCACGAAATTTACTGACTAATATTCGAGCGACTTGTATTCAGTTCAATTTCCCAACCAGTAAGTATAGAAAATGTGGTCGAGAACTGTATGGATTTGTATTGTATAATGAAAAGTGGAATTAGCCCGGAAAAATTATGTAAACCCTTCATGACAAAAGAGATTTTAGCTCACTTTTATATTAATTCTAATGATATTTTTATTTCATGAGGACTTGATTCCTTCAAGCTAAAGAATATTCTAACTTCTTTTGAATGATAGACGTTCGAGTATTATGTATATATTTTTTAGGACAAATTTGTAGCAGCAGATAAACGTAACTCCTATATCGGCGTTGGGAAGACATTAATCAGCTGGCTGGACCACAATATTTTTGATTTGTTTGTCGATGGTTTGCGTAAAACAAAATTGATCACTGATGCTGAAAAAGAAGGCATCTCTTTACATGAAACAAATTGCTCTGAATTAGATGTTTCACAGGTGGTAAATCTGGGATATAACTTCTTCGATATATAGCTATATTTGTGACAACATTACTTTTCATCTAACGAATTTCGTTATGTGATTTTCGTTGATGAAATTTTATTTATAGGATCAAGATTCAAACGTTAAACAAAAAGAGATGGACAGCAATGAAGTAAAAGTTGTTTGCAGTAACGATGTAACCGAAGTTAATCTTGCGTCGCAACTTGAAACCAATATGGTTAATTTTTTCAAAAATTAAAGAAATAGTTAAAAATAGTAGCAGAACGTCTTGAAAACTGATCAGTAGCTGATTTTGCTTTGTTTCCTGCAAAATTTAATTCAGTAATTTATTCCATTTTTCTTGTTTCACATATCGCAAGCAAATTCTCCCTTTATGTGACATAGTGATTTTCAGATGCACTTTAATCTGCCATTTATTGTTTTTCTAGCAAATTGTGAATGAATCGAAGCAGCAGCTATCAAAAGCCAATGCAATAGAAGTTCGTGTGTCATGGAAGAATTTAAATGGAAATATTGCTACTCTTGGTATCCTGAAAATGGAATTATGTGCAAAATGTGCCAAATGTACTTCATCATCTTTCTTGATATGTTTCGTAGATCGACTTTTGATCTCACGATGTCAAAAGTAAATTATTTTGTGTTCCTCTTTTTCAGTGTATTATTTCTTTTCTTCATTTTTTACAATATATGACATTGAACAATCGTTGCTTTTATAATGTTAGCTTTTATAATTTGTTTGGTAGGTATAATTTACATTACTTTTTTTTTTATTTTATAAAATTATTTAGCTATCGTGACTGTGATATCCCTATAGGAAAACAGTTTCAGAAAGTGTAGTAATAACAAATTAGGGATGTCCGATCTCGCACCATGTGATTATACCTTTTGTTTATATGGAGATGAGATATATGTTTTACAATAATATATTTCAGGTGTTCAAATAGGTATTCTATCTTTATGTCCTCCCAAATAGTGCATGAGAATTCAAATGTTATTGCTTTGCTTGAGTTAGATGGTTGTATTCCAGTGGATTGTGTGCTTCCATCCTCAAAATTCAACTATGCATGTTTGAAGTGCAATAATGAATGTTCAACTGAGGTATTTTTAAGAAATAATAAGACGCATAGATTGGCGTGTTTTAGTATTCTACATTTTATTTATATTCACAGCGCTTTTTACATTGAAATCCAGAAATTTAATAGCATTGCATATATATATATATATATATA